ATAAAGCCGTACATAGTGTGTTTAATGGTTTTATAATGGTAGTACTGAAGAGATTCCTTAAGACGTAATGTTTAATATAGCCATTAAGACCAAAACGTCCGCCTTAAGGCTGTAGTACACCCCTGGCACTTCGTGGATATGTGGAGCTTTCGTTTTAAACTGATAGAATACGCTGTATACAAGTTAAGATCAAACAAAGGTATCGATTGAAAGCTAAATAATTTATCCACCTTTGTCTGCTTTTAGATTTTCTCAAAATTACCAAGGGTCGTATGAAAAAAGATTCAAATTGTATGGAAATTGGTACTTTTAAAAGTAAAAAGAAGAGGTACAAACAACGTTTTTCTTTAATTTTCAAAATTAGAGAAAGGTAGATTCAAATGTGTTCCTCAACAATAAGTTTAATTTCCAATTCATTTTTAATAACCTAATAAATAAAAGAATTAGGAGTGTAAAACGAACCGTCTGCAAGCCCTAATTTTGCTGCCGTTTCGTGGTGTTCGTAGCGGCCAGACAGCGTAGGTCTTCCGGCTTGAAATGAAGTTTTGACTTTTCGTTACAACTGTGTTTGTGAATAATCGGAAAAAATGTTAATGTTATGTCTTAAGTTAAACTAGCTAGCTATGTACGGAAATCAAATAATCGATTAAAACTCGAAATCGAATATAATTCAAAACCATTGAGCACATAATATTATTTTATATTATGTGGTCGATGTTCAGAACAGCTAGTTTAAAGGCACAAAGAAATATTCTGGCAGTTAGGGAAAATCGTCAAACAAATATCAAATAGCAAATATCAAACAAATAGCGCTCTGAGTGGCGAACCTGGACATCGTTCTGAGATTTTCGAGCTGGTGTGTTCGAGCCTTACAAGACAAGATGTTGTAGACTTCTCATTCACTCCAGAAAGCATATTAATCTTCCCGTCTTTCTTGAGGTGAAGTTTCCAGAGCGTTGCTGCGGGCCATTAGTTGCCATTATTGTTCAGGATCGGTAATTGCAGCTTCAAAAGAGTTTGCCAATCGCTCAATACTCAGCCAGCGGCTTTTGAGTTCATTTTGCTTCGTTCAGTCGGAAGATTTTGTTATTTTGGGGTCAAAGTTTGAATCTCAATAACATTATTCGTATCGCCATTTTGTGGTTCATGTGAAGGAAACCACGTGATCACACGTGGGAAGCGGTCCAAACCTTTTTGCAATTTTCTTTTGTTTCGGGTTTTGAACTCGTTTGAGTGAAATATTAAGAAATGTAGGATTTAGACTAATTACACACTAACTAGAATCTATGCACAATTTACATGCACAATGTACATCTACATCTGCATCTAACATATAACTTTGGTTGAAAATAAGTAGGTTAGTTTTGGTATGTCTATGATGAAGATGAACTATTCAACTGGCAATTTAATCAGTTGCTATAAATATATGTTTCTGATATTTAAATGCGACTAATCAATGGTTCTTTTTTATCAGTGACGAAGAAAAATACTTAATTAAATGTACTTATCAATTCTAAGTATATACATAAATAGTAAACAAATGCCTGTGACAGAGAAGTAAGGAACATCATTACTTCTCTGTGTATATGTTTATTCATCTTTTTTACCATCACTTCTATCCACTCACCATAATACTTCTTTTGAATTTTTTTGTATTCGCGTTTTATTATAGACCTACGGCTTTGCTTTAAGAACTCTAAAACCGATTTTAAGCTCACGGGAATATTTTATTGATTTATTTCAATGGAAACATTACAAGCAACCGTGTTTACACCCCTAACGTTGTTTAATGTTTGTTACTATAAAAGGTGATTGATATCAGATAATGTTTTGTAAAACTATAAGGTAAGCATGTTTAATCCTAAGTGATTCTGTTTGTAACACCAGCTCATTTTTTGCCGTGTCGAAGGCGTCGTGTGTTATAAGGTGATTTTAGGTGTACAGCCAGATACAAATCAGGGTTAAAACTACCACTAATCCATAAAATAAAGAAAACTAGATCCAAACTAAAGGTAAACAAACTACTTTACCTGAAGACCATTGTAATAGAAAAGGTCAAGGCTGGCATGAATATGTTGGCAGCGAAATTGCTCTATGTCCCACGGTCCGAGTCAATATTTACTCTATGTGCGGAGTAGCCTTCAAGGCTTGTTTAGTTCGCACCAAACTTCCCTTGCACAACAAAAAATCATTGATAGAAATTACAAATATACCATAATTGACCATTAGAATAATAGAAAATCTAAAACTCTTATTGTATTCAATTTTTGTAAACTTGGTATTTTCTTCGTCAATTAATTGACATTATTATTAGAAAATTCCTTGACAATATTACTTTAATTTGGTTTGGTTTATTTGACATTTAAAATTTCAGCAAAAACAACTATCAGAGTTTTCTTTTATTCTTTTATAATGTTGATTAAAAATAGATTTTATTTCACATGTTACTTTACAGAAAATAGGATTACTTTCGGGCCTAGCGGGTAACATTACTTTTGGGTCTGCATTGTATACATTATAGTCATGCATTAAAATGCTAAAATCCTTCAAATAAATAAAAAAATTGTGAACAGCTTTTAAATAAAATATAAACTCACGCTAAATTTACTTCAATTGACGAAATCCGGTTCGAACCATTATTATTGTTGGGTTGGCCGATACTTCTAGGTGTTTTTTTCCAAAACTACTATATGTAAAGATAAAATGTTTTTATCGTTATTGAAATTTGGATTTTGAATAATCATTTCATAGAGTATCTTGGAAATATAGAGACTGGCCAATCCCCCCCTTCTTCAAAAGAATTCATATGTGTCCAATTCGTTTAACAAATCTGTATATTTTTATTTCAACTTCTTTGTATTACCCACTTATATTTATAATACCTTTTCTATTAACACGAACTTCGGTATTTTTAATTTAGGCCTAAATTACAGATTAAGTATTACCACAGAAAGAGTTATATTTCTCTCTATATTTACCTTTTTAGACAATTACGATTCACTATTGTTGATTTATGGTTACTTAGTGGCATTAGCGTGCAGAAAAACAACCTAATTGGATAATTGGTGGCTCACACGCAAAGAAGAAATAATTCCTGAGTATATATTGACTGAGTGGTAGGAATGCAATGGAAGTTCGTCCGTAATTTCCGCTTACGTTGAAATGCACTTTATTTAATTCATGTTTTGTACAATGATATGAAGATGATGGAAAACACATAAATTTAAAAAATTAGTTTTGATTATTCAAACACATTCACCTTCAAACTTAGGTAAAATCAAAACTTCAATTTTAACAATAACCTGAAAATAAAACATGACTTAACTAACTAGCTTTTCTTAATTTATTGTACCATCAAATCAATAAGACTCTCACATAATTAAATGTAGCTTGGTAACACTAAAGTGTTTTATCTATAGTGTTTTTTTTTTAGATACTTTGCTCACCAATTAAATTTGCTTCGTATTTTTGTGCGGTTTTCTATAAATGTATACAAATTAACATTAATACAATTTTATAATGTTCTTTGTGTTTTATTTTCGTGAAAACAGAATTTATTGCAACTAAGCAATATACACCAGCACACACACCAGTACACACCAGTACTGAAAGTCCCCAGTTAGTGTTTTTGTTAAGGTAAAGCAAACTAAATAGGAAGTTAGATACAATGTAGAAACAAAATTACCGTATAAAAAGCCGAAACACAATATGATATGGTGTGATCATTCATGTAAAAGTAATGAATGAAATATTTCTTGCTTACTGGAGAGGATAGCTGAAGACCCAGAATCATTAACAAAATCCGGTAAATTTCTTAACCTTACGCTTAAACACAAATAGATAAAGCAACATAATGCATATTTGGCATTAAATATCAACGAACTGATTTTCATTGAAATCTCTATTAATTAAATTCGTACATTTTTGCAAGAAATATATTTACGAAAAACAGGAGGTTTTCTTACTACAAGCTACTAGTAAATGGTGTTTATCTAAGCCACTATCAAGCATTCTGAAAGTATACTAATTCCCATTCAAACTACATACCTAAACTTGTCAAATAATCTATGTTCACGTTTCCTGGAAATCAATGAGTAATGAAGTGCGTGAGGATGAAAATTAGAAACCTGTGTTGTTTACATTTGGAAAAAAAATTAAGTAGTTTTCCTAAACTTCCCCCACTTGTTTGCTTCTGCTACAAGTATAAGCAATATTTATTTGAAGTTATCGAGTGCTTAATTTGGTCGAGCGATACATATAAATAACTGTATCTATATAGTTCTATATACTATAACTATATACTCATTATAAATGGTTAAAGAAAACACACACAATATAATAGGTGAGCTAGAGAACCATAGATTTAAATGTGTTATTCTTTGTTAAGTATGATTGTTTTACAGGAGGTATCCAGCCCAGATCGATTTTTATCGAGTGATAAGAACGACCAATTCAGATTATACGGCACCACAAGTTTGAATACCCCGTTAATATCAAACCTACTGTTGATAAAATAAAACATCAAAATTAAGAGGGTTATCGCTAATTGGCTGATGGAGATAGGCCTTGACAATACAGAGTCGCTTATCAGCCCAGAATATCTCGTTTAGACCTAACCAACTGATAACTGGACTATCTATTGTACCTTCTACAGCACTCTTACTTGACGGAATCTACGCCTCAGTAAAATTGGGAAGTAAAATTGGGAATTGAAAAAAAAGTTATTGAGTTGCACATTGTGTATGGTTATTAGGTTGTTATAATTATAATTGTATATTAAATTAAATTGTATGCTTATTTTACCAAGTTATTGTTTTTTTTTTTATTCTTTTTTTTATGTGTAGTGAAGTGTGAAGAACTTTTATTTTGATGAAGCAGCCAGTAAGGACTCTATCACGCACAGGTCATTGTGACCCATGTGATATTTTTATTTCTTAATGTATTTGCTGCAAAATAATGTGCATAAATAAAGAATTTCTCTCTCTCTAAGATACACATACCAATTATTTTTCAGCCAGCCAAAAGCCAAGTGTTTAAACTAATTGACAACCGGTGCAGGAAGTAATTCGCACTTTGATCAACAAACGCCGACTGGCGACTGGCGAAGAGCTGATAGGAGAGAAGGGTTGCCACTGCGATAAACTAAATTATCGTGTTTTACTGCCAACATAACGAAAAAAAATTGTCGTATTAGGGTAGTTGATTATTTTAGGATACGATTTTTATTGTTTTGTTCAAAGTTAAAAATTCAAATTTGAATAAATACCAAAGTCGGTCATGTTACCGAGTCTGATTCCTACCAACCGCTAATGAAAATGCATTTCGTTTGATATACTATCGTAAAAGATTGCCAAATTGCTTTTAGGAATGGTAGTTCTAGATTGTTTTTCTCATCTGAGTTTAGCAAACATAAGAAATTCAGTGGTCCTACAAATCTAAGTGTCGCACCATACAAACAACCAGATTTATTTGTATATGTTTAAGATCGCAGTGAATTGGAATCCGAGCTACCACGTCGCTATATACAACTCGCTATATAGGTAGAAGCACAGACAATAGACCACTATTATTGTATTTCTTTTGTCTATGGTAGAAGATATTGTTTATTTGCGGGAATTAGACCTGGACTTTCATGCAAGAAGTATCGCGGTTTAGCTTTAACCAAGCTGTTTTTTTTTTTTTTTTTTGTAAATAGGCTACGAGTGTTGCGGGTTTCCTTCACGCCATGAATGAAAATTAACAATATAATCATTAGCTTAAAAAGCTCCAAATCAAACTAACCAAAAAAACACATTTCAAAATCTACCAGAAAATAAGAGAGAAACATTCAATGGACAACAGCGCACTAAAACCAACAACGCAACTGTGAAACATACATGAAAACTAGTCTCATATTTTACAATTGTGTTTGCAAATGGTTTTATAAATACCCCCGCCGCAGCAAACCTGCCGACTAAGCGAATTTCCATTTGTCTGAATTGATTTTCAGTTAAATATATTTTAATAACATTAGGTTTAACGAGTACCTAGGTTTGCTGCTACAAGGAAACTAATAAAGTTTGTTTTTGAGTAAAATATTGATAGCTTAGTACAAAATAAAATAAATAAATTTGCCAAGTTCGATCAAAATATATCCATAAACAAGCAAACTACAACATTTGACAATATTTTCCATAAGAATAACATGGGAATTTTAAATTGACAATTTTTTTAATTTTCTCCGTTACTAATAATCAAACAAAAATACTTATATATACTTAATTATTTGTATTTTTTAGCTCTTTAAAAAGGTCTAAAGAGAAATCGGGAAATTTTGTGTTTTGAGGGTCAAAAGTGAGAAAAACCAATTTTTACCCCATAAAACCCCCCGTAAAGCCCCGATCCCATGGTCCGATCGTGCTGGTTCGCGAACTCATTCAAGTTTATCCCGCTTTACACCTTTAAACAAAATTTCATCAAAATCGGACAAAAATTACTCAAGTTATCGCGTTCACGGACGTATATATATATATATATATATATATATATATACATATATAAAAATTTGAACGAATGGTGTTTTTGGCCCTTGGGGACATCAAAATGAAAAAGTAAATCGGTCCCGGGTCTAGGTCTTACCGTGCCACCTACGGTAATAGCTATAGGGAAATTCGCTAAAAGGAAAAAATAAGTGTATGATATAAATGTAAATCTATTGTAAAGTCAGTTAGGCAAATGTATATCTTTAAATGGTTTAAAACCGGAAAATTATTCTGTAAATACATAATCATGTTTAGATTAAAACATTTGACTCTAAGTTTATTTAGTTTGTATCAATAAGTGTTTTAGAACCAAGGTAATTGATTGAACATTTTGAATTCTGTCAAAGTTTACTACAGCCATTGATTAAACAAACCTTCAATGATGCAGATTAGTTACCCCTTGCAATGAGCTAGCAGCGCCTTCCGATGTATGGCTGTGATTAAGGTGCTGTCTTCATGTTGCATTTTGGGATGTAAAGGCGCTTATACTTGTTTCGATTTTTGCTACTGTCCATTACGTAAGTAGATCAGCAGGTTACATTTTTGTGTTCTTATTAACTGATTATAATCGTAGGTTATACAATTTATTGAATATACTCTTTTTGAAATGTCCAGTCTGGCGTTCAAATTGAACATCCTTCTAATGTTCAAAACAATTTCCATAGTTAAAATCTAAGGCTTACCTTACCATCTATTGTATTTTTTTAGTGGATACCTAGGTTTCTACTTCGAAACGTTATCGTCAGTCTCTTGTCTCATAGATTAGCTAAAAGTTTTGTTTTCCTTCTCTTACTTGAGATATTTTCGATTTGATATAATTTGTACAAACATTGAACACATATAAATATTTACTAGGACATAAATTAAAACAACTCAGATACGGTACATGGCCATAGTCTTCTTTATCAATCCTAACCTCAGAAAATTATCATGGGTAAATGGCGGAACTTTCTATAGAGTTTTATGAGGAAAATTTTAAAATATGCAGGAGATTTTTTATTTTTTTATTTAAATATTTAATTCTTATATACCGGTATCCATAAACCCCATAAAATAATGGATAATAGGGTGTTTACAAAATAACAAACGTTCCTATTAAAAATTTAGTAAATAATGTTGGTCCTTCAAAATATTTACTAGGACATAAATTAAAACAACTTAGATACGGTACATGGCCATGGTCTTTTTTATCAATCCTAACCTCAGAAAATTATCATGGGTAAACGGCGGAACTTACTATAGAGTTTTATGAGGAACATTTTAAAATATGCAGGAGCTTTCTCATTTTTTTAAATTTCAATATTCAGTTCTTATTCATCCATAAACCCCATACAATAATGGAAAATAGGGTGTTTACAAAATAACAAACGTTCCTAGTAAAAATTTAGTAAATAATGTTAGTCCTTCATACGCTGAACAAAAAAGTACAACTCACAATGCTGCTTAAATTACAGTTCAAAAGCCATTGTAGCTTTGCGATTTAATCTATAAAGTGTCATTTTTACTCCCACTGTACATATTATAAGGGGCTTTGACATGCTAATGGGTGTGTGTCAGTTTGCTGATACAGTGTCTCTAGATCTTTCACAGCTGCTTTAAATGTCTGAGGAGAGGATACTGTTTGCTTATATAACTGTCCAGTATTAATTGGTCTGGTAATAGCATAATACCCCCTAGCACAGTGTCTGATTCAAACTAACTAAACCTCTGTTACATCATTACTGAGAAATAGAGAGACAATATGTTATTTAAAGAGTTTTAAGCGTTTTTATTAAATGAATAATTTCAATATTTTTTTGAATACCTTATTCAAGAACTGTAAAGTTAAATCCTTAGCAGATTCAGAAGTCAGGCCAGATGTATATTGTTCATAATGGGATGTGACAAACTTCAGGGGCTGATCGAACTAATCAATCTAAACAAAAAGTTCATAAAAACATGGGCCGAAAAAATCGTTTAACCGCCATTTTGTATTTTTTACAAAACAGTCTCAATAATTATTCAAGCTACGTAAACCAAACTTTGCACATATATTTATTGTGATAAGAGGCAAATTTAAATTACTAAAATATAGCTGATTTTATGAAAAATTTTAAGAAAACTTGTATTTAACATTTTTAATTCCCTATCTAGCAATACCAAGTTCAAAAAGATTGAATAAAAAATAACTTTAAAATGTCATGATTTTTTTTGTGTAAAATGAGGCAAACCTGACTATCTTAGCCTTATTCTACACCATTTTGCAACTAAAACTCGAGATATTTCAGATTTTTTTTATGATCTGTTTTAACGTGTTATTGTTTGATAGGGAACTCAAAATGCTAAATAAAAGGTGTTCTTGACATTTTTTCATAAAATCATCCATATTTGGGTAATTTAAGTTTAAAGTTTTTAAATGGCCGCCATTTCGTTCATGTAAAAGAAAATAACGTCATTTTTTAATTACCTCTTGACACAATAACCGTATGTGCAAAGTATGGTTTCTGAAGCTTGAATAGTTCTTGAGCAATAGATTTATTTGTAAAAAAATAAAAAAATAGTGGCTAAACAACATTTTTTTTATTTACTTTCAGAAAATTTTTTTGACCTGTGTGTTTATGTGAGATTTTTTAAGATTGATTAGTACTATCTGCCGCTGAAGTTTGTGACACCTCTTTATGAACACCCTGTGTAAATCTATTTCAACCACTGTTTGCCAACCTTCCATATAGTAATTGTTTAAAAATATTTCTGTCAAAACTGCTTAGTCTCATTTATGAAACCAAAGAAAAAGTATTTGTTAAAAAATTATACATCTTAAAATATAAGTAAGGATTAACTAGTGTTTTTTATTATAAGAACTAGATGCAACATAACCATAAACAATAATACCCCCGCCGCAGCAAACCTGCTGTCTTAGCGAATTTCCATTTGGCTGAATTGATTTTCAATTAATCTATTTAAATAACATTAGGTTTAACAAGTACCTAGGTTTGCTGCTATAAGGAAACTAATAAAGTGTGTGTTTTAAGTAAAATAATTAGTGCTTAGTATAAAATGAATATATTTGCCAAGTTTGATCAAAAGATATCCATAAACAAGCAAACTACAACATTTTACAATATTCTCCATAAGAATAACATGGAAATTTTAAATTGACCATTTTTTTAGTTTTCTCCGTAACCAATAACCGAACAAAAACACTTTGATATACTGAATTGTTTGTTTTTTTTTAAGCTCTTTAAGAAGGTTTAGAGGAAAATTGGGAAATTTTGTGTTTTGAGGGTCAAAAGTGAGAAAAACCAATTTTTACCCCATAAAACCCCCCATAAAACCCCCCATAAAACCCTGTTCCCATGGTCCGATCATGCTGGATCGCGAACTCATTCAAGTTTATCCCGCCTTACACCTTTAAACCAAATTTCATCAAAATCGGATAAAAATTACTCAAGTTATCGTGTTCACGGACACATACATATATATATATATATATATATATATATATATACATATATAAAAATTTGAACGAATGGTGTTTTTTGGCC